ACAGGAAGAATAATAGAGCTCTTCTACAGTAAAGGAAAAGGAGAAATGCGTTTTCAATAGATCTTGCTCCTATAGGATGCGCGCTAGCATTGAAAGAGAGAATGAGAGTAAGAGCCGGAATCTTGACGTTAGACAGACATCTTAAAGAAGAGAAAGAGAGCTCTTATCTATCTTCTAGAAAATCATCACCATCGGCGTTCGCTCGTATACCGCATCGCACGCAGAGCACACTATAGGCCTCATTTATTCATTCATTCATTTCGTTATTTCTTTGTTTGTTCGTTCGGTGAGGATAGTCGTAAGTTACACAGAATATGTATATTGTATGCATTAAATAATGATAAAATATTGCATAAAACAAATTAAATTATATGTGACACACTTTAAAAAGTATTGCATAAAACAAATCAATAAACTATATTAGCTTTGAAGAAGAAAAAAAATATATATATTCATATTGGAACTTTTGAAAAATGATACCGTGCTAATTAAAGCGAATTTTATATCATGTAACTTTGTTAGAATAGTTGCGCCCATTAGTTTTTTTTCTTCTTCTTTGCCGTATTTCTTGCGTAAGATATGACTAGTCATTAAAATGTCTATTTATAGTATCCTAATTTATGTTCTTTTCTTCCGTATAGATTTATAGCTTGTTACTTATAATTATTTAGTCGAGAAAAAGGTTATCGCTAGAATATAAACGTACATATATGAAGCATGCAAGCTATCAAAACAAAAGAGATCTGACTAATACAGTCTCGGCTGTAGATCAATTACAAGAAAAAATAATAATCAGTTATAAACAGATCAGACTTGCCGGACGTTAATGTTTCTGTTTCCTTCTTGTTTGACAATAACAATAAATAATATTTGGCCTTCTCAAATATTGTCTTTATAATAATACTTTTGACATCGTCGTGCATTTGTATAAATCATTAACGTCAGATGTTTGAGCGGACAAGTAGAAACCTGTGTATTTATAATGACAAACATGACAATGATAATGATTATGCTCTATCAGCTATTTATAGTATTCGTTAAGTTTAGTGTTGTTATTTGTTGATGCAGAGAAATACAAGTTTATTTATAATCATGTATAACAAATTACGCCTTCAGTAATTAATCTATTAATTTTCATTGTATGTATAAAATAGAGAAGAAAAACAAAAATCAAGATATGATGAATGTTCGCTCGCCTCTTCTCCTTCTTCTTCTTCTTCATCATTCGTTTCTAGGATATATTTGTACATTAGCTCTTGTTGCAGTAGTTATTTACAAAAGAAAAAGAAAGGAAAAGTTGATTTTGGTGCTCCCGAGACTAGAAATCATCGAGAGGCAGATTTCTAACTTCTAGTGGCTTCTTTTTATAGGATTAAAAAAACAAGAAATAAAACGAACAAGCGATAGATGTATCGGTCGTGATTTTTATATTAGTTATATTAGTGAAGAAGATAAGGAGGGTGTGTGTGAAGGAGAAGAAGGAACATCAAAACATCTCTTGTGATGTTTCTTTTCCGACACAAAATTATATTTTCTCGGACGATAAATACTTTCGATGTATGTTTCTAAATTTACGCACACAAGTAACATGAGGAGAGCTACTGAACTAGCGAATAACCAGTGACACCATTGCTGTTATTAGCACGCTACACAATGCGAAGGAAGGAAGAAAGAAGTTGTAGTAGTCGTTGTGTAGTAGTAACATGCATAGCGGTCGCACATTGCCAAGTGCATGCTCAAGCCATCTTTCCTTTTCCTCAAATCAATTTTATCTGCTTCGTGTTCGTCTTCTTATTCTTCATCATCATCTTCTTCGTCTTCGTAATATTCTCTTCTTTTTTTTTCTTTGCTTCTTATAATGTAACAGTCGTTGCTGTTCGCCTATCCTACAGAGCATTCATCATCATTTTGAAGATAGTGGTATGGCTGACGCGCGCGCTTTCCTCTCTTCGGATTGTGCTCGTTCGCCCGGACTTGGTCGTGCATTCAAATTGGCCGCTACTACACATACAAACTAATGGAGACGTAGACAGATTGAAGGAAGGGAGAAGATGAAGAAGACGAAGAAGGGAAGCAAGAGAGCTCCTTCTAATTGTTGTAACAACTCGGCGACGCACAGCTTTAGACTGCAGACCAAAAAGACGAGTTTTCTTCTTTTTTCTTTTTCTGTTTTTTTTTCTACTTCTTCTTCGGTCGTTCTCTCGTCATATCGAATAATAGTAGCCGGATAGAGACCGAAACACGTGAATTCCACTTACATGCAATGCGAAATGATGACACGATAACGAATGACGGATATATAGGCAGCTTTCTAGAGTCTACAGCACAAAATTAACTGATTTATAGTCGCCTACACGAAACCACTTAGCATCATCATCTATAACAACTCGCTCGTCAACACCATACATACAGATTGACTACTCTCGTCGTATGAGTTTCTCTTGTAACAACAACAATAACAAAAGATCACAGAGAAAGAGAAGACCAAAATGATTATTGCCAACACTACTGTAAATTTCTTCTATAATGATTACACAGCAGGCAAAATATGAAATTAACTGACGAATCTTTCTTTTTACTTAAAAAAAGATTATTTCTCTTTTTTCTCTCTTTTTTGTTTGAATGGAGAAAAAGTTCGTTAAAAAATATTTATATATATATATACTATATGTCAATCCTATCATATGCAAAAGCGAATAGCACACTAGGTTGCCTTTCTTATAGTGTGATTGAATAGATGCAAACTATTTTGTTGTTGTTTTTTTTTCTTTTTCTCTCTTTGATTATTATTATTATTATTATTATTGCTGCTATTATTATAGTTTTAGATAGACTTTTCGTTTACAGTTGACTGCATTCTACGTTGCTGAACTATTGTGTATACATATTTTTCTCGTCGTTTTCCTATTAAATTTCAACAAATTCGGCCATGCACGATGAAAAGCTATGGTAAGTCTACTAAATTTCTTTGACACTAATGATTTATTCTTTTAAAAGTGAATTTTTCCTATATTGGTTGCTAGGAAGAAAAAACAGAATATGATTTTGTAATCTGCTCAGGCAAAGATTTAAAGTATAAATAAGGAAAATTTGTTTTTTTTCATGTAATATCTTTCCTAATTCTTCTAAAGAAATGTTACGTATAAGGTTTGCATTACGATCATAATGACAACAAGCAAAATCACAGTGACTTATAGAACATTAAAGCTATGATTAAACGGGAAACAGGTTTTCATGCTAATAGCAATATATTATGTTTACTGCTGTTCTTGTTCTAATATAAAAGAAATCGATTAATAAATATATATGTGAAAAAAACTATCAAACGCGAAGATTAAGTTCGATATAATAAGAAGAATGTGTTTGTTTCATTTTTATGTTTGATTATTTCAATTATAATAAATATAGCGTTTATGATATCATTGAAATTTCATTTTAATGAATTACTTTTAAAAAGCAATGTTGGCCGATAGACAAATCTACGGAGCATAAGTTTTACTTTGGTAATACTAAGCAATTTAATAACGATTTTTTTCTAGTTTTCTTCTTCCGTCTCATTGACTTCGATATGTAATTAAAATACATCGAATATAAATAATTATTCACATTCACTCAATTAAAGAAATTGACTATGTAGAGAAAATGAATTAAAATAAAAATTTGCCGCGAACGGCAATAATTCATTTTCTTATATATATATATATATATATAGACGTGTATTTGAGTGCTTATTATATATATCAATCGAAGCACACTCAAATAGGGGACCTTATTTATGTTCTTTGGAGCATAAGACAAGTTGGCACAACTATTCATTCATTCGTATTCTACGAAAGAATGAATAAGAGAACTATAATCGTAGTATGGCAAAAAATTTCGATCAAGAATATTATGGACGTTTATTTCATTTTCAAGTATTGCTTCTCATGAATAAAATGTTAAATAAGAAAATTATTCAAAAATATTATTCGCATGAATTTTAAATGCTTTTTTTCTCAAATCATTCTTATCCTTTTCATAATATGTATAATTGTATTTATTCCTAACCTGTACTCGCAGGTATTTTTTTTCACACTTCAAATAAGTCATGAATGTAACGAGAATTTTTCATTAAAAAATGTAGAGAAAAGAAAGAGTGATGATAAAATATTTTGAATTATCAAACCATACTCTGATGCGTTCCATCTTTTTTTCATCATTATTTTAGTACTTAGTCTTTATAATGCTTTTCAGATGAAAAGAATAGTTTAATATCTTTACTATCCTCATTGAGTTTGGTAAAGCTATGTCAAAACGTATGTATCTTTTAATTTTCTCATGACAACATCGAATAAGGACGAAAATATTTTTTTTTTATGGATATATGATTGTATGCGAGCATGCATGAGTAAAACAAAAATAAGAAACATATGTATTTTTACATCATTTATGGTAATAATATGATATAAAAAAAAGAAACTATAATTAATACAAAAGCGAAAATCGTTTTGTATAATTGTATGCAACTCCGCAGCAAAACTATTTTCTCTTTTATCAAGGTGAATATATGTAAGCATAGAAAAACAGGAATCGTAAGACAAAGAAGAAAGCTTGGAATATTCCATTTGACAGTTTGTCTTGTTTCATAGACATAATCCATTAGAGACACAGGTGACCAATAATGTCAAGTCTTGTTCATTTATTTCTTTTACACCATGATAATATAGATGAGATTTTGGTAATCTTATCTATATAAATTCCATCAGTTTGAACGGTATATATATATTTTATGTGCAAAAGTAATCTCCGGTGTTGACAATAAAGGATATTGAGAGAAGAGAAAAATTGAGCATATTTCCGGTAGCCGTCTTTATATAAGCATCTATTGAAAATAAGAAGACAAAAAAGATATTGAAGCATCAAACTATTATTCATTTGCTTCTCTAAAAAGGCCGTCTTTTTCTGGCTGAATAATATATTTAAAAAAAATCACTAAATGAAATTAAACAAATCCTTTTTCTATGGTCTGTTTAGAGTCGACATTGGCGTTTTTACACAGCCGTCGTATCTGTCGGCTGTTGTCGTCGTCTTTCATACAGCCGGCAGTATCTTCAAAACGTGCATCAATATTTATTTCGTTATTATCCATCCTTTCATTATTCTCATCAGTGGCCGCTGTTCAAAACCAAAGAATTCTTCCGTCATCTATCATTACAGTTACAAATGTCTCATCAACAGTATCAATTACACCTCGACGACGAATGCTACCAACAACCACATCAATATCAACATCAGTCACATCAGCATCTATTATTACAGTAGCAAATAAACTTAATAATGATACCGTTGAAAATGAAAAACTCCTTCAAAAAACTTCTCGTAACATAGCCTATTTAGTCGTAATTATTATTATTTGTTCGGTATTGAGTATTATAACAATAGTTGGAAATCTTGTTGTCATATTAGCTGTGTGTCTTGTAAGAAAACTACGGACAGCATCAAATATACTTATTGTGAGTCTTGCTGTTAGTGACATACTAGTCGGATTGTTTATTATGCCATTAGCAATGGGTAAGCTTAGAGTCAAAAGCAAAATTAGTTTTTTTTCTCTTTTTAATTAAGTAACCTTTCTATTTTCTATTCAAACTTTTAGTGCTTGAAATTACCAATAACAAATGGCTTTTAGGCTCGGTTATGTGTGACATATGGACATCAACGGATGTTCTTCTATGTACATCTTCGATATTGAATTTTCTTGTTATATCAATCGACCGATATTGTATTATCAATCATCCATTTAAATATGCTCCTATGCGTAAAGTTAAATTACTTTCATTCATGATAGCCGGTGTATGGATACTTAGTGCACTTGTTTCATTACCACCTATTTTAGGCTGGGGTCGTACGTATCAATTGTTCTTGTTTCGTTTCTTCCTTCTGCATACGAGTATAAAAATAGGAAATAATAGTTTGATTTTCTAAACTAACTTCAATGGCTGTTTTTTTTTAATTTTAATTTTAATTTCGGGTTGTACTAATTTATCATTCAATATTATTGAAAACTTACTTCTATACTTAACTATAAAAAATTTCAATTCTTTTATTGATTTATAATGAAATTCATTTCAATTTTATTTTTATTTAAGGTCCTTCGGAAAATCTTCCGACATGTCAAGTAAATAATAAATTGGAATATCAAATATTTGCAACTATGCTTTCGTTCTACATTCCCCTTATTGTTGTACTTATAATATATGCAAATATCTATCGAACGGCTCAAACAGCAATGGATAATCGTTCAAGTGTTCAAATGTCTCAATTTTTAACACGTAATAATTCTTCGATGAATGTTGCACAGTCAAATGCAGCCGAATCATCTTTTCAACATCAATCAAATGGTAATAGTTTTCCAGCGCCACAATCCTTATTAAATGTATCTAACACAAATAATAATAATAATAATAATAATAATAATAATCAAAATCAAAATGATGAATTTTTATCAGCATCAGGTACTGAACAACGACATGGTAGACAATATTCAAAAAAGAATTCAGCAAAAAAATCAAGTGGAAGCAAATCTCCGAGTTTTTTATCTGCGTCGAGATGTTTAGGTAGACGAATAAGTACGCCATTTAATGGTCGTTTATCAGTATTTGTCACGCGACGTTATTCTTTTTTTCGTCATGTTCATTTACCAAATCAAAAAGCCATACGAACACTTGGCGTTATCTTAGGCACATTTATTGTTTGCTGGCTTCCATTTATGCTATTTGCCATTATAAAACCATTACATGAATATGTAACACGTTTAACAGGTTCACCACGACCACTCAATGTTCCTGAATGGGTCGATCCAGTTCTGCTATGGTTCGGCTATTCAGCATCAATGTTAAATCCTTTAATCTATTCAAAATTTAATCGAGAATTTCGAACACCATTTCGAGAAATAATCTATTGCCGTTGTCGAGGCTTAAATGACAAAATTCGACGACAAGAGTATCTAGAAAATTTATATGGTGATAATCATTTACAGGTACCATCTTTGCCCATTCATCAATCACAACAACAAGGAGCACATTTGAGAGTTAGCGGCAGTCCTGAAGCAGCAGCCGTGTGATATGCTGTGATACACATCTAGACATAGGAGCAGAAAAAAAAACAAGAAACCTTATATTTGTTTGTTTTGTGTATATTTGTTTCGGAGAATTCTTATCTATATGCATATATTCTAACGAACAGTCATTTTTACAGACATATGACGGTGAACTTTGAAACTAACATTTACAATGTTCATTACCGGTTCCGCCACCAAGAAAAACTAAAGTAGAACATGGCCATTTTTTCCTTTTGTTTTGCTCTTGTTTGTGTGTGTATGCTTTCTACGCAAGCTCGCTGCATTTTGTCTCCTTAAATTTTGTGTTCTTCTTTTTTTGCGCAATTTCTCTTTTCGTGTTTTTTTTTGTTCTGCTTCGGAAAAATACTATTAATTTTATTTTATACAAAACAAAATGAAAATCTATAAATATATATTTAAACATTGAAAGAAAGACAATAATTGGTGAGATATTTAAATCATATCCCAATTGTTTTGTTTCGTTCATTCAGAAAATGAACTTTGTCAGAACCGGAATTCTGCTGTCTTCTAGATTAGACGAAATTGGTATTGTTGTACATGAAATATCTATTCTAACGTAAAAAAATAAAACAAAATGATAATTGTTCATCTGTACTATATTTTACCAAACAAAATAAGCATGTTAGCTTGCTGCAACTAGAAATGAAACAAAAATAAATCCATGTAGAATTTGTGAATACATTATTAGGATGCATAGATCCGAAGTAAATCGTTTTGATGATTGTGCTTCTTAAATATTGTTTATGAAGAACAGCTCATACTCATTTTTATGACATATGTCGGTGACTTAGAAAATGAATATAATAATTTGCCTGAAATATAATTTCCTATTGAAAAACAAAAACTCATTTAATATCTGAAATTAGTTTTTTTCAATACGCTTTTGATGATGTGAGTCTAAGCAGATTAAGAGTAGAAGAATAAAGAATCGAAGCTGACTATGAGAGAATAACCAAAAATTGATTATTCTTTTTTGTAAAATAGCAGACATTGTAAATAACTTTTCTTCATATAGAAATTGCCATATGGTACTTGAAATGTCAAAATCGATAAATAAACTAAAGATCGACAGCCAAGCACCGTTCATGTCCGACATAATTGTCATTTTCTCTATTTTCAATGTATTTATCTTAAATGCCGTGTTACAAGGTCATCGGTTCTTGTCGAAACAAACAAGTGTGTACACTCGACTGTTCTCTATTGATATCACAGCTTTAATACGACATTCTTTTTATTTTTTTATTTTCTCTCGACTAGAAAAATACAATTAGTATCTCCTATTCTTCATCTTGATAATTTGTTACCACCTCATTAAAGATAAGACTGGAAATAACTAATGAAGATTTCACTCAGAACAACGATAACATGTGTAACAACTTCAGGATGATTACCAGACCATTTTTTGTTTCACAGAATGTTAGCATTCATTGCCCTTCCTTGTTTTTCTTTACATTGTCAATCTAAGTCTTTCTTTTCATAAAAATGAAGGATTATATTTAATGAGAAATTTAATTTTTGGTGTTCCATATACGACTTCATTCCATTATTTAACCATAGAAGAAGAAAAAATAGCAAGTCACAATGAGTACTATAGGAAGTGAGTTAGATGATTCAGATGTTGAATAACTTCCTCTCTTAAATCATTCCAAGTGAAAGAAACTTCATGTCACATTCTTCAAGATGTTTCTTTTTTGATTAAACACGCATTTGTTATACGACACAACTACAGATATTTATGATAACATTAGCAGTGCTGCCATTCGAAAGCCAGATGTGCTACATCGAGAAATCGGGCTGGCAGTATCTTTACAAAAATTAGATCAGAAAAACAAAGGTCATATGGTCTAGCTCTGGTTTTGTCTAAGAATAAAAATTCCAGTTATATCAAAAGAAGCTAATTTCCAACGTAAATGGATTCAAATCTATTGTTTCAATTTGCATAGATATCAGCAACGAGTGATAGACGTCTTGGAACTATTTTGTTTTTGTATTCTTCAAGTTAACTTTCGCATTCATGTAGTCTCTAAAAAAGAACACACGATAAAAATTAGTAGCCGATACAAGCAACATAATTTCTATCGCTCTAAAGAGCCGCTCATTAGCATCCTATTCATATTCTAACCACACTTCAATCAGTACTATCCAAAACTATAATCAGATTTTGCAACAACTAGAAGCATATAGCCCTAAAAATCACGATGTCAAAGTATCATGCCATGCATAAAAGAAAATTCATAGTTCCCAATAGTCGTATAGAATTCATGAAGGAACTTCTTTTACTAAATCATATTTCTCTTCGGGCAACATTATATATAGATCACGTAATTTCTTGCTTCAGTAAACTTGTCAGCATCAGAGTATAGAAAAACAAATTCGAAGATCATGTGTACCTGAGAATGATTTATTGTATTTTTTTTTGAAATTTTTCCTTTAGAAAAACTACACGGAAACTGTAAGTTTGCGAATTTCCTTCTAAGTACATAATCAGTATTAATCAAAATAAATAGTAAGATTGACATAATTGTTTTTGTTTTAAAACTGAGATTGCATAGTGATTAATGGAAAATGTTATTATTTTTCGCTCTGGACTTTGAATAAGTATCGTAACTTTTGTTTTGATAATCAATAATACGAAACGACATTTTCTGAACAAATAAATTTCAGAAAGATCTTGAAACTTTTCTCGCAACATCGTCACACCAGTGAAAACTAAAAAAATGTTTTTATCGTTTTTGTCTGATTGAATTTTGTTTGCTAAAATAATTGTGTGTTACAAGTGAAGCAAACGAACTAGGCTCTTTCACTAATTTATATTTTGCTGACTAGAAAGAATGACGTTCATTGATTATTGGAATTTTCTATAAAACAGATACGATGTTCTATGAAAATATTTTGGTTGTTCATGCAGAAAGGAAAATTATTTTCATTTAATTAGATACTACCAAAACATTTCGATAGGATTCAATTATTTTATATCCAGAAAGTGCCTCGAGTACTCAGAAATGCTTCTGGAATTTTATGTTCCTATTACTAGTGGTTGTCCTAGAATTAGCGTATCTGTGTAAGACAACGGAGCACTCGTCGTATAAAATTGATTTGTCGAATGAGTACTTATGCACTATTGGGCTTTTATGTGATTAAAAATGAAATGATAGAACACAGGTGTACATAATGAAAGTTGCGAAAGTGAAGATAAGGAGATATTGCGTTTACATATTATTATATTAATATTCGCTTACAACAGTGCAATAACAGTAAACCGAAATGACTAATAGAGCATTCAAGAAGTCAGGATGAGTAACAAAAATTAGCGTGATATATGTTATTGTGAAAAAGCAAACTGACATTCTATTCATATATTCAGATAATAATAATTTATCAAAACACTTCAAATAAATCGGCATGACAGTAATTACACTCAAATTTTCATCTATGTTAAAATTAATATTTAGGGAAATAACTTACAGTATATTAATCATTTGATAGTAGTAATTTATGAGTGTCGACTTCATTTAAAGAATTTTACAGATTCTCAAGGATTGATTAGTATGTTAGTTGTGATCAGTTATGTTTCTAAGAAACTAGGATCTTTGCAATTGGCAAGAATCTTTGTGAGTGATTCAATCCTTTGCTCGACATTTTGTTGAACAACAGAATATACGTTTGCATCCACTACCTCTAGGCCAACTCTCATCATGATTGAGGGGCATCTTTTTGCAGGTATGACAACCGATCCAATTTTTGGCTTCATCTAGAAGATTGATTCCACTTTCTTCGATTAATTTTGTGTTAAGCAGGGGCGATAGAGTGTCAACACGTAACGGCTCAACATACGAAGCGTTTCAGGGCTCGATTAAATCATGTTGACGAGCGTCTTGCGTTTGTCTCGAATTTTGTTTGAAAAATTTTCGCATGAGATCAAACTCTTCTGCTGAAGCTTTTATATCAAATGCATTGTAATCGGAATGACGAAGAATTGAATTTTGTCGTGCTCCACTAATATTCTCAGCTTGTCTATGTAATTCTATCATACTGAGTGTCCTTACCAATCGTGTCATGTCCGCAACGTTTGTTTCTTCAATATCATTCAAATCCAAATAAGATACAGCAAGTCCTGGTCGATTGCAATAATCGAAAATACCTTCGTAGAGAAATAGGATATCGCCGTAAGTACGGATATCTGTTGGCGAGTGGTGATTGCCTGTTTTTGTCTTGTACCAACGTAAACATTGACGACCACAACACACTTACAACAACATAGATTTAATAGATTCTTTTAAGCCGAATTCGGCATCACGAAAACGATATACACCTGAACGACGGATACTCAATTGCAATTCCGAGAAGGTGAACATGGCTGCTAATTCGTCACTAATTTGCTGAGTTTTTGCGTCATAAGCACCGATTCGATTCGTCCCCGGCAAATATGGTCAACGACACTAGTTCAGCTACATCATTGGCTAATGTCGGAATGAATGCATGGCTAGTAACATTCGGTTCGAATTCCGATCATAACAATTGAGAGGCAAAGCAAAATCGGAGAGAAATCAACTCTTTTGTATCCGTTCACGAGTATTGCTCCGTATTGACTTGTAAATGAACATGGTAAACTGATGTTGTTTCAAAAGAATTGATGACACGAACATAGAAGATCTCGAATAGTCAATGCTGATATGGAGGTTTTTTATGATTTCATTGAACTGGAAATGTGCAAACGGTAACCATGTATGAGCATCGATGACCAATGCAATATGACAGAGTAATTGAAGCGAGGCAGCTAGGTAGTACAAATTGAATACGAGCATCTTGCGCAATATCTGCATATGCCGTCAATGGATTATCAACAGCGTGAGTAAAGTTGGTCGAAAGTTGAAAAATAAAATTGTCGATCAGATGGAATCGAATTTGATTTTGAGGATTGCACAACAATTTCATATAACCTGCACGCAAACTATACTCTATTTGACTACTTTCAGCTGTCGTAGTTGTTGTTTGTCGAAACTCACTATTATGCATTGAGCGTACAAGTTGCAATATTGCACTCTCATCACATACAAATAATATCAATTGTAGCATAGGTGTTAGAATCTGATGGGGCAAAATCTTAAATATTTGGGTACTATTTAATTTTCTCCGTGTGCAAATAAATATACCTTCATTTGAGAAAAGTTCATGAAATGCACGGAGACTCGCAGCATAGGCCTGAAAACGATAGTATGCTCTTTGGAATAGATATGTGAAAGATGTAGCTCTCGATGACCATCGATAGTTAGTCACCAGATTTGATATTCGAATGAATCCATTACATTAACTCTTTTTTTTTTAAGCGTAACTTTTCACTTGACGAGTGAAGTCCTACAGTACGTGTACATTCACAGATGAGACCTAATAGCAATGAGATCCAACTTTGTTCGGTGCCGTTTAAGACCTGCGAAATATAGTCGATAAATCGAGCATGAGTGAGACGCTACTTCATACTTTGTGTTAGAAGTCGAGACGAAAGTCTGTATCTGAAAAGATGGGCACACGTGACAAATAGATGTAGCATGTCAACATGATCGCATAGATTCGAAGTATGAATCAGATCGAATTCTATTGGAAACAAATGAAATAGGGCGATATTTAGCGTATCACCACAGTAGAAATGACAGTGAATTCGTCGTCAATTTTGACAATAGTTTTCCATCCATTGTCGTAATTTATGTTGAGAATAGGTGAGTAATGGATAGTTAACGTGGTTGCTTATTTTCTGAAACTCTTGTTGTTCCTTAACATTTCCAAACGGTAGATAACGTAAGTACGGATGCACGGAATGGTGACCTATGTAGATTCCAGAAGTGGCTTGGAGCATCGTAATATTAACGCTATAATGATCTTTCTCCATTCCAGTAGTGCCATCTTTCATGTAACATCGAATTTCGTTCTGAGCTCGCGCAACTACTGCCGCGTCTTTGTCTGAAAGGATCGCTGCAATAGATTCACACACCACCTATACGTTTGAAGCAAGTCGACATGCGTATATTCAAGACGTTGTTGACATGTTTGCTCTTTACTCATGAATAAGTAATATAAAGCTAGCCATGCATGAAATAGTTTTCTAATAATAGAGTGATCGTTAGTACGAACAACATGCAGATCACAATCAATCATTATTTCCATTAGTTTCTTCGAGGAAAAATGCCATCTTCTTTCTCGCAGGAAATCGTGCCAGATTGACCAAAGATCATCGATGGAAATTGCATCATCGTTGAGCAACTCAAGAAAAAGAAGATTACGTGCAACAATGCAAAGATTGATGTCGATAAGGTAAAGTCCCATTCATGTACAGTTGAAGAAGTTCGAACAAGATCTAAAATATTACGTAGATCACCACTACCAAGAAAAAGATAGCGGACAGGCGACACCGTATATGAAGTTATACCGATATATACTGGCTTCGTATTGCCAATCAGATAACTGAATGAAGATGGTTCGCCGAATTCATATTCGAGAACAGCGCGTCGATGTGGTTGTAGATTATTCTCGAGCAGCATTTCGTCTGACATCATGTTGTTATGCGATGATGCACAGGAGAATATGCTTATCAGTGACGACGATGTAAATGATTCTTATGCAATTGATTCTGAGTGTTGTCAGCAGATGACAGCCATATACACGCTACATATGTTCAGCAAATATTCAAATTGAGAAGAGTAAATCCTCAGATAGTATTTGTAATTGATAACAACTTCATCAAGTCGTCTCCACTCGACGAAAAATAATGGCGTCAACACAACATAATTTTATAGTTAAAGCGTTCAATTTGTTTGCTTCATTCATCCCAAGCACTTACTTCAACGAACAACAACAATGAAGGCAAAATTACGGCTCGAAATTCCGAACATCTAAAACGCACTGGTTCAGGATATTGTTTGATAAAAGAAGTTGAATCTAGCTCAACACAAACAAAAGTCGTTGTTATTTTTACTAAGCAACAAAATTACGAATATCAATAAAAATGAAAAAATGTGAGCTGAATCATTTTTTCTCTTATAGCTCTCCAATCCGAATTCCAAGTGAAATATGGCTAGATTTTATTCATGGATATTAGTTATCGAGTTCAACGATATAGCTCTATTAACAGAACAACAAATAATGATCGTTGAAGTGTAGCTTCAATTTGTTTTTCTTTGAAATTGTGAAAAGAAGAATTCACATAGACAGTAAACATCAGGATACCCATAGCCATAGAAGAAGTCGATTTTGGGAAAGGCATTCGTAAACTATGGTTGTGTGTATGTAGTGAACTACGGAATTGTCGGTTTGCAGAACAATCTTTCAGGAGCTCAGAAATTCGGCAATGGAGTTGATGACGGTGCAGCTGTAAGGTGAATAAGATGTTGATGATATGCAGTTTTTAATGAATTTGAATAGTACTGCTCGAATCGAGTGTCAACTTCATGTTTTTTGAAAAGAACATTTTCAAGGAAGTAATATAATGATTTTATTTGAAAATATCTATCAAATTGTCAACATTTTAATCATAACTACAATTCTATCGAGAGAAGCAAAAAAAAACATCAAGATGATTGTGGTTGGGTGAATTTTGCTGTACGGTCTAGTATTTGTTTTATATCATCTGGTGAATAGTATTCGATTTGATTTCTCACTGGTGTATCTATTGTTGTCGATTGTTGATATTCTTTTATTTCAGTCCTATTTCTATAGAGTTTTAAACGAAATAATTCTTCTTGAATATCATTTGATAAACTACGCTGTTCTTCCATACGCTTTTCATTCGATACCCACATACACCAATCTATTGCAGCTGTGATATATCTGTTAGGCAAAAGTAAAGTTAAAAATCAGCAACCAACAATTTTCTTTTACTTACTGTTCATAACAACCGGGTTGAGCTATACCATCGAAAATATCAATAATTGCTTGTTTTTTCTTATCCGTTATTCGACATTGAAAATTAACATATGGATTCATCTAAAATGAGAAAGATATATATATATATTGTGAGTAGAGTTTCAGGAATAGGAACTCTTTTTGTTCCATCATACCTGACAGGAATGAACTTGTTCAGGAGTCATAATCAAGAGAAAATCATTAAAAAATTTTATTTGAACATGATTGTCAAGAAAATATTTAAAATGTCCGACATCAGCAGTAGATGTTTGTCGAAAAATATTATCTGTATCATCGAATTCATTCTCTAATGAAGATAATTTCTATAAATAGAGAAGATCAAATTCTACTCTTTCTATTAGACGAAAACTATATTTAAATTACTAATTGTTGAGTGGTATCATTAACATGATCATCGGATGAAACATTCTCTTGCATCCAACATGGTCGTTCTTGAACACGTCGACTCATACTAAGTAGTCGTTGACGCATAGTAGACATGAAACGTATTATTTGTAATAATTGTTCATTATTAGGCGGTAAAGCATGTTCCGACAATGTTAATAAATGGCATTGCTTAAAAAAAGAAATTTTATAACTTAAAGAGATAGAAAAAAAAGAATATCTTTTCTCTTACAATGTATGCGGAAATGGGACATTGGTCTGATCGCTTTAAGTAATCTGAATGTAAATTCTTACTCTAGTATTACGTATACCTAGCATGTTTTATGGCATATGCTTAAATTTTTACATTATCTACACATCGTTGCTTTAATTGTATTACTAATATTTTAGACTGTTTTCACGGCTAGTAACCAATTTCAATATTTATTACGCATTTCTGAACAAAATATAATTCAATGAGTGTTTATCTCTTTCCATGTATAATACAATTTTAATGTCTCATGTAAAAGTTTCGAAGAAATATTTTCTTCGAAAGATTTTTAAAGAAATTATTTTGTCTACAAACGAATCTTTTCGATTCTAATCTCGTCGAAATTCTTTCTGTTAAAACTTGTAATTTAATCATATACCTTATCTTTAATCGAATAATACTTATAAAAATGAGATTGAACATTATAAGTAATAACATAGTCGATAAAATGTTGAGTATTTTCATCAATAACAAGTGCTTCTATACTCGTTGGATTTTCATATTCTAATCTATATGTAATTGCTGCTGTTTGTAAAATATGTATATCAGCTTCAAGCATCATTTCATGATGTAAACGATGACGATGAGCTTTTGGACATGATGAACTAGGTAATGATAATGGCAATTTAAAATTCCATTCATTGCCATCGCCATCATCATCTTCAATTTCGAATGAAGTTGGAGTGTTCGACAATTGTTCAATAAGTCGGAGACATTTGTGAACAAATTTTGATAGATAATCAGGAAGTTTTAGACATGAAAAACATCGACGAACAGGTGCAAATATATGAACATATTTTGTTGGAATATCAGTATCATCTGTTTGTTTTGATAAAACACGTGAAACTTGCAGAGGATGAGTTATATATACAATTTGTCGACATTGAGGAATCTCGATTCGAGCACGACCGCATAGTGATGTCCATGACCACGTTTGAGTTGGATCATCATCAGAAATACTGGGAAGAGAAATGTTCGGAGACCAACGAACATGTGAAGCAGTACCCGATGATTGCTAAGTAAAACCAAAATAACTTTAAAGCAAAAAACAACATACGGCTAAATAAACTTACATAACATTGATTAGAAACAACTAGTGCTGGAACAAGAAATGGTTGCTGCGCATATAGATTACGAAATGTTAAAATAGATCGAATACGAGGTAATAATGTACTAGTTGTATATATGGTACGATGTTTTGTCGTCATAAGACCTGATCGAATAAATGATAATAGAGATAGTAAAAATAAAACAAAATCGAATTCACCTTGTGTATGATTGCCTTGTTGGACTACATATTCCGTAGCACATGGTGCTAGAAAAATTTTCATACCATCAGCAAATGTGGTTTCGACCGCATCATTAGTATACATAATAAATTGTTTGGCCATATTTGGATCCTTGTCCATTATTGAAATGATAAAATATCTAAAGATCCCTCCATTAAAATGGATAGAATCGATGGCAACCGAACAATTGGCAGAGTTTTAATCACTTAAATTCATGGAAATAATTAAATAATTTCTCTGCATTTTAATATTGCAAATGAAAATCGTTTGAAGAGAAAATTATGGTTATTTTTCAGAAAAATAACGTATTTCTGCTTTCTAGATGGCGCTAGCTCTCGAACATTAGCAATTTTGTTGAATACTAAATTTGTGATGTAATAACTACTTCATTATGTTACAGTATAGATATTTCTAATTATTTTTATCTTACTTCAAATTCAAAGTGTATTTAAATTTACAATTGTATTTATTGAAGGCCTTTAGAAGAAATGACAATTATAGAAGAAACAGCGAGTATTTGTTAGTAAAGAAGACATACAATATCGAATGACCGAGTCAATAATAAGTCGTTTTCAATAGTCTGCATATTAGCTCACCGTACGCCAATGACTTTTTTGAGAACGTGTATAAAAAATAGAAGCAATCAATATTGCCTCATGGTTATTCTGATGATAGCCTAAATAATTTTTTTAAATTTCTAATCGATATTACATTACAGTACTAATGAAATGTCTCGGAAAATGATTTTAAAAAGAACTCAATTAATTTTCATAGTCATCAGAAGCAAATCTGCTAATCTTTATCAATCGCTTTCTATTTGATATAAGCATATAGTTTATATTTATAAAGTTATTTATTTATTTTCTATAAATCAATCAATGATTTTTGTATATTGATATCATCAAACATATTTTCTTTCTCATAGGGAGGTATCTATATATTCATTTTCAAGAAAAAAGAAAAAAAAGATAAACAAAAAATGTTATTGAAACGATTGTATTATATATATATATACATATTATTCTCCCCAGATTATCGCCCGTCTTTGTTTTTCGCAAGAAGCAATAAATCGTCCTTCTGGATGCCAAGCAACTGCGTTGATGATAGTCCTAAACCGAGAAAATGAAATAATTTTGAAACAAATTCTCTGAATCCTCCTATCACAATAGTAGCAATAGGATATGAGAAACAGAAAAACCGTTTGACAATTTCGATCAGCTATTTCGTTTTCGTATGTACTCTCTCTACTGTTTGCAAACGCAGTAAATTTAATAAAGCGCAATCTAAAACAATACCTTGTTTGAAAGATATGTATGTATATAAAACTATTAGAAATTTAAGGAGGATGGAATCATCTAACCGTTTCTATTGATTATTGAGGGACTTTTTTAAAATGAATTACTTACGAATGTTCTTTATTGAGAACTCTTTCAATTTTGCCAGTTGCTATATTCCAAATAAATACGGATCCATCACTACCACCGGCGCATGCATACTTACAATCAGGTGAAAGAACAGCTTTGACTGTGTCTGATGCCACTTTGAAATCTTCATGGCTAAAATAGAGAATCGTTTTTTTTATAAATTAGAAGAAATCAGACACACTTCCAATATGTATTCAGAAGAGAGCTACGATATTTCAGTGCCTATCAGCTATTTTATCCTGTTAGGTTGTTCGCGTAGTACTTTTCACGAAATTGAGCTAGTTTCCTACGAGTCGATGATTGTTATATCATATACGATATGTTTGACTGTTTAAAGTAGTTATTCACCCTCACATATACACTAATTTCAAGTATTCAATCAAGTAGTAGGATAGTTTTTTAGAAATCAAGCTGCAAATATTATGGTAGCTTCAATAAGATAGTTTCATAACTTTAAGTGTTCTTGAGTTTTGATAGCTCTGTTTAGAATTTGCATTTACTAATGCATGCGTTCACTGGTTTAATTCTATTAGAAAATTGATTAAATTATGAATCTTAACTATGTTTAATGGAAATTCTGATAAATCTATAGGGAAATTAACTTTTTTTTTATTAAATTTAACTGTTGCTATTCAAGACATATTTTTCACATTAGCAAAAACAATCTTCATAAACTAACAATTGCATAAACAATGAGAAATTTTTAAAATCTTTACCTGTATGTTTGAATGACTCGATTTTCCCTGAGTTCAATTAACTTAAGAGTATCATCACGGGAGCAAGCTAACAGCAATTGTTTTTCTAAATATAAAAATGTTTACATAATTTTAGCAGGAACTTTTTTCCTACTTGCCTCGATTAATTGATAGCGAAGTTACTGCTGCTTGTAATTGTAATTCACATTTAGTTGAATCGTTTCGAGCATCCCAAAAACGAATCTTCTTATCAAAATGACCACTAATTAAACTTCCAGATGCATCATGCGCAACTAAATCATGACATTTCGAGCCAGCAAATAAAGTTCTTACACCTTAAAAATAAATAACTAATGAAATATAGAACAAAGAAAAAAAATGGCAAAATTTACATTGACGATTTTGTAGATCCCATAGTTTTAATGTTCGATCTTGACTACCGGACGCAATTAAAGTTGCAGTAACAAATTTAGCACAAAATACTTTTGCACCATGACCGGTTAATGTATGTCGTAAGCGTTGATCAGTAAGGCCCCATACACGGCACGCAAAATCTTCTGAACATCCAAGAATTAGATTGGCCTAAACAAAGCAATCATTCTTTCATTATTTAAGAAACAAATCGCCTTTGTTGTTCTGTTTTATTACTTACATTTTCATTATCAAAATCAATAGCAGTCACTGTTGAATTATTTCCAGCGAGAGTATAAACTTGTTGAACGTGATCTAAATTGAACAGTTTACAATTAACTTCTTGAACAAAAATAAATAAGTATCGTTATTACAATTGGAAGAATTGAATTCCCAAATATGAATTTTTCTATCGCTACCACCACTGGCAATTAATGATCCAGATGGATGAAATTGAATAGCATGTAATTCATTATCACCACAGTCCTAAACAAATAAAAAACCGAGAATTATCAGTGAAACTCTCGCTCACTCACATCAATATTTTTAAAAACTGACCCATTTGACTATTGCTTTCGTTGGTACTATAACTTTTATGGAATCGATGGCCGGTGTTAGATGTATTTTTCCATCCATATTTGCACTTTTGAATGATACTGCTGATGAACTAAATAGGACAACGACATATATGTCAAACTTCAAGCTTGAATTCAATTGAAAATTGAAAATTTCTATTTTCAACTTTTAAACCAATAGCATTCTGAAGAATCGTGACTCACACATATATCGCTATGAATTGAAAAAGTTGAAAGTTGCAATTTTCTATTTTCAACCAGGGTTGCCACCTGATGAAGAGCAAAAAGCGGAAAATAGCGGAAAGAAAAACAGAAAAAGCAGGAAAAGAAGTGGAAGCTTATATTGTTGCGGATTTGTGGTGCTTCTGAGAATATTAGGCTTTTTTTTTCATATTTATTGGATTTATTTTTATTTCATCAAAGTTTCAAAACATAAAAGAATGATGGCTCACGGTATTTGTGAACAATAAGAATTGATTCAATAATATCAAATATTATTCTGTACGTAGGTTTGATAATCAACACGTTTTATACGAAAAAGCGGAAAAATAGCGGAAAAAAATTGAAAAAGCGGAAACTTTCCGCAAAAAGCGGAAGAGGTGGCAACCCTGTTTTTAACTGAATTCAAGTTTCAAGTTTAACACTACTGAACAACGATGAAATGATAAATCACGACAAAAATATATGCTTAATTACCTCAACTTCAATTGTGTCGTCACCATAATATCATTTCTGGCTTCGTCAAGCTTTTTCTTAATATCTTCTTCAAGTTTTCTGAATAACAAAATAATTGCATAGATTAAAAAATGACTCATTCAATAGGACTAACTTATCATGCGCTATAACTTCTTGATCGTATGCATCACATTTTTTCTCAATTTTTGCTGTCATTTCTCGACGTAAAACAGCAACGGTTGCGTCGGATTCTTTTTGACGTTCTTCCATTTGTGTATAGGCTAGTTGCAATGCTTGAAATTCATCATGTATTGTCTAAAGATAATAATATTTTATTTCAGATTTTCTAATAGTGAAAGCAAGAAGCACATGAATTTTTAAAATAGATCCATTATATAACCAAATAACAAGTGCCTATAATTGTTACCTGTTAATGTTATTCGAGTCGATTAAAACTAGAACGTTTTCTTTTCGATAATTATAAATAGAATCAACAATTCAGGGAATGAGGTTTCCTTGATAATAGATCAGAGAATCGATTACTTGTCGTCAATACGAATGAATAGATTGACTCGTTTATCTCATGAAAATGATTTTCAAGACTACAGAGGATTTTTACTTTAAGATGTAGTGTTTTAACTTACTTCGTTAACTCTCTGTAAAGCGTTTAATTTATCTTCAGCTGATTCAAGTCGTTGTTTTACTGCTGTATTTTCTTTCGTTAAGGTTTGATTTCTTGAAAAGACAACAAAAAAGTCGATGCTTTATGCACTTTAATAAAATAAAAATACTGACTTATTTTCTTCCGCGTATAGTTTTTCATCTCTTTCTTTAACAATACGACTAAGACTAATTACTTCTTTAGTCATCTATTCAAAAATAATATTGTACTAATAATTATAAAACAAATAATAATAGAACTATACATCGCCTCGTTCTCGTAACAATGTGAGTATTTCATCTTTTGCTTTCATATAATCATGTTCTAATGTTCTAATTTTATCATTAACAGGAAGGCTACCCAAACTAAAAGAAATGATATAAAAAAAGGCGTATATTTCTATGATTGATTCTATTAAAATATATATTTACCTAACACTGTTCTTTTGCAAGTCAGAATTTTCTTGACGTAGTGCTAATATATCTCGTTCTTGATCTGTACATCGAATTAATAGCGTTGAATAATTTTCAATCAGACGATTATCTATATAAATAAAACTGTAGAATTTCAACATCCATTATTTTTAATCAAACATTTCCTTTATATAGAATGAAACCTAATGATTATTATTAAATAACGATATTTTCTATGTATAATTAAAATTTAAAAAGCAACCTACAATGTTTGACTATTTCTGCATAAACATCGCGTTCTTGTTTATTACGTTCTTGTAATTGGCGGTATATTTTTTGTTTCCATTCCATAACTAATGTCTATCTAAGAATAAAAAGCAATGCATAATACATAGAAACAAAAATTTTATTAAATAAATCATTATTGGTAAAAATTTGTTTATTTTTTTCCGTATATACATGAATCACTTAACGATACATTTTTCCTTATAGAAAACAAAACTGTCATGTTAAACTACAAGACCAAGGAACAATTTAATTATTATTCACTCCAAAGAATGACTTGGCGATGTTTTTCACACGAGGCAACATATTTTCCATCAGGTTGCCAAGCAACTGATGTGACCATTGTACTAAACAAAACAGAAAACAGAAATCTTCATGAAAACAGAAGTGAACGGAAATTTTGTTTAAAATCATACGAATGTTTTTGTTTTAGGACATTTTCGCATTGTGCATTTTCCATATTCCATACAACTAGAGAACCATCATGAGAGCCAACGCAAGCATAACGAGCATCTGGTGAGAGAACAGCTTTGTGTGTATCTGTGCTTACTTTAAAATTGTCATGACTAGAATAAAATGACCATCAAAGTTCATGTAATTTATCAAATAGTAGCCGATCAAGTAATTGCTGTGCTAGCAAACATTTTTAGAAACCTTTGCCTTCGTGTCCCAAGATAAAAATACTTCTTCTGTCGAGAACTACAAATAATTCGAGGTTTATCCATCTTTCTCGAATATATCATTCACTTCAACAGATTTCGAAAATCATCTTTCCTATTTTAAATAGTTTCCATTAAAAAAAGTAACTGTAAGAAACCAAATGAATGTTAGACCCTCTGTTTGCTCGGAAACTGTAATTTTTCACATATACGACCATTGTCTACGATGAATCTCGATCAAGTTGAGAACGAGCATTGCTTTTTGATAAAAAATTCTGTTGAAACTATAGATCACAACAACAAAGTCTTACCGAATATTCAATGGCATGTAGCACGAAACAGATCAGAACGACGGATTTATTGCAAAAATTCAAAGCTGTGATAGTTTTTCTTCTCTCTCTCTCTCTCTCTTTGGATTGAATCGATTAAGCGTCTATCAGTGAATATAATAACTTGCAAAACTATTTGCTCGAAATTCTATGCTTTTAGACATCCTTGATGTATGAAGCCAAATTCTTACCTAAACGTATAAATAGTTTTATTTTGTCTCAGATCAATTAACTTAAGTGTATCATCTTTAAAACATGCAAGTAATGTTCGCTTTTCTAAAAGATAAAATTAGAAACTTCTATAGCTTTTAAAAATAGTCAATAAACTCTTTATACCATCATTAAATGATAACGATGTTATGGCTGCATCATATTGTAATTCAGTTCGGCAGTTATTTGCGAAGGGATCCCATATACGAATTTTTCTATCATAATGGCCACTGATTATTGTACCGGCTGCATCTAGTATTACTAGATCATGACATTTCGATCCAGCAAATAAAGTCTGTATGCCTTAAAAAACAATATTTGTAGGATTTTATTGAGAATATTAAAAAATATTATACATTTTCGACCATAGATATCCCATATTTTAATTGTTCGATCAGCACTACCGGTTACTAGTTTTGTTCCAGAAATAAATTTACAAGTATATATAACGCCTTGGTGGCCGGTACATGTATCTTTAAGAGTTTTTTGTTCTCCATATGACCAGATGTATGCTTTATCACCGGAGCATCCAGCCAAAATCCGACACTAATATCATAGAAAATCAGAAATAGAGAACAAATATTTTACCAGTTTATGTACGTACTCCTTCATTATCAAAATCAAGTGCATTGATTGCTCCCTGACTACCTTGAAGTGAACAATATTTTTCTTGTTGTCCGATTGATGAAATCTCCCATAAATGAACCATTTTATCACTACATCCTGTCGCTAATATTGAGCCAGATGGTTGAAATTGTAGAGCATATACTTCAAGATCTGTACAGTTCTAAATTAAACAATAAATTGATATTGTAATGAAAACATTACTAAAATTTTCGAAATGATTGATACTGTTTTGTTATAGAGAAATTTAAAACTAGACTATTTTTTCTTCCTAATATGATGAACGTTTTTATCTTTATTATATTCTTACCCAACTAGCTTTAATGCGTGTTGGAATCGAAGCGATCGAACAATTTGTCGATGTTCGATAGAGTTTATCAATTGAATTATTATGCATTCCATTTGTAAATTTACGCACTAGATTTGTCAGTAATTTTCCTCCACCATTACTCAAACCTTGTGCAATACTTTTTCTCTCTCGATTTAATGATTCATCATATGAATTGCATATTTGATCGTAACCATCACCGAATAAACTAAAAGAGAATAGGCAAGCAGTTGTTTGGGATAAAGAAATAAATTCAATTAACATACGTCGAATTAACGCACGGATCTTGATATAAATCAGATGAACTTTTCATTGATGGAATAAAGACAACATCATCATCAAAAAAGATATTCCCTTCATCTTGTTTTTGTACTTCGACTTTTTTCTGACATCTGAGAAGAAGTTTATATTTTTATTTAAACGAGAAAATAAAAGAAAAAGTTCTTTTACTTGTCGAGAAATTTTGCATTTTCATAATCATGCATTGCAGCTTGTTGATTTTTATAAACCAGTAATTCATCTTCAATTTGTTTATTTATTCGCTGAGCGGTTTCTAATTGCTGTTCAAGTTCAAGACAAGCTGGTTTTACTTTGTTATAATCGATTTGTAATTGATCAATTTTATTTTGAAGAGCTTGAAATTCTTCTTGAAGTATCTTAAAACATATAGAATCAATTAATATCATTACCGCTGTACACTCTCGATTTACTTCATTGGTTTGTAGAACTTCATTGAGATGATATTCCGTAGATTGTAATGTTTCATGTAATTCATCGTTCTCAGTTTTATATTGTTGAGCTCTGAAAAATGAAAAATAAAAAAAAAGAATATTCTACTATTTATGAATTCTTACTTGATTTCTTCTTTGGTGAATTTCTCATTTAAGTCATTTAATGCATGATTTAATCGAAGAACTTCTCGAGCAAGCTATGTTTAAAACAAAGAAAATAGCTTATAATTCATTCATTAGATTTACTTTCATATCACTTACTTCACCTTTCTCTCGTAAATTTGTAAGCACTTCTTCGTTAGCTTTTTCTAATTTATTTTTAATATATTCTAATTCTTCACTATAAAAAAGAAGAGTAACATCAATTAGTGTTAGGATTCGATAAAAAGTTTCTAGCTCACCATGATTCAGCTTTCTTTTCTAAATCAGTATTGATTGAACGTAAATGATTAACATCTTTTTCAAGTTTAAAACATTGATTTTGAAGATTACTATTATTTTCCAAAATATGATTGTCTATTTAGAAGAAACAAAAGGCGTTTCGATTATGATTGGAGAAAAAAATAGAGGTATACAAGTTTCTATGAGTCTTTGATATCCATTTTGTTGGCAATTTTGTTCTTTTAGCTGAGATAAAATATTTGATTTCCAATTTAAATTAATTATATTCATTGTGAGATCAAAATGTGAAACAAATTCAATCGATTGTTTACCTATTCAAGCCTGAGTGAACAGCACATGAGAAAGCAACGCTAGAACAAGATAAGAACCAAACGGCGTCACACGCATGGAGTAGATTAAAAAAGCAAAAAATATATATATGCTAAAGAGAAGCATGTTTTGCTTTGACAACATTTCCGCACGTCGTAATCGACGTCAACAGAGGTCGTCCTATATTTAAGCGGTAGCTTTATATAATTGTTAATTATTTAGACGTCATAGAAAAAAATTTATCTTTCCATGGTGAGTGTTGGAAAGTCTTGAAACTTGGATTTTTCAATAGAAATATTATATGGTGGTTCATTTATAGAATAAAAGCTGTTTTAGAAATTGATGAGAGACCTTTTTGTAATTAAAAAACTGAAACTATATTTGATTACGTCAAATACATTGTTTCTCGAAGGAAAATTTTCACGTAGCAGATTTTCTACTGTGTCGAGGGAATTATTTTATCATGAAATATATTTGACAATTGAAAAGTACCTATTAACTTGAGAAAAACAATTAAATCAGAGTAGCGTTTATTTTTTGATAGTAGTCCGTAATATTGAATAAACAGTTAGACATTTGACTTTCTTTGACACTCATAACACTGCTTATTAAATTCAGAAAATCAGAACAATTGACGTGATCTAAAAATAAAAGCTTTTTGCAGTACTTCATGGTGTCAACGTTCATGACAATTCTTTGTTCAAAGACTACCGATTAAAAACGGAGTAAACGTATCTTCGAACATAATATCCTGAATAGAACTGAAAACAGAATTTTTTAATGAGTTCTGATTAAGAATTTTTATATATCTGAATGACAAAAGAAAAGCTGACCTTGTAGGTACATACATTATATAATATCAATTTTATAGCTAAAAAGAAAATCATTACAAGTCTCAATACTTTCTCTCTCTCTCTCTCTCTCTCTCTCTGTTATAGAGAATTGGAAAATTTTACTCAACGACACTATAGTAGGTTTATAAAAATGGTAATATGAGCAGTGTTCTCTGTTTGTATTTTATTAGATAAGAAAGAAAAATTTTGGTAATGATGATTTATAGACGTATGCGTTTAACCTTCTTTTGTTGTTATAAAAAGATGTCAAAACTTCTTTTTTTTTACTTAGTAAATAGATTTATCTAACTTCGTTTTTTACTGTGTTTGAATAAAATTCACGAATTAAATAACTCACAAAGAATTAAATGAATTTTCATGAATAAAATGATAGGCAACCAAAAAGCAACTCAATTCTTTCTTTTTTTATAAAAAATCGATACAGTTCTTTTTGTAAACAATGGTAACGAGCGACTCTCTTTTTATGTCGATCATCTTCTTCTCCGATTAGCTAAACTAAATTCAAATCAGGCGTTGAGTTTGACTCATCATCAGTCATTGATAGGTACCACACATTTTGTAACTGAATATCTCATTCATTCCATCTAGTTTTAGTACTACACAGTATTTTTAATATTAAAAGAAAAAAAAAACAAATCATGAAACCATGCATCGTTATTGTTGGTCTTGACCAAATATTTCTCGATGAAATTGTACAAGGTTTAGCTGGTGAAAATAAAATGAATGATCATAATCTTATTGAATGGACTATCGATACAAAATATTATACAGCTGATGTTCATTTACGTCCAATAAATAATAAGTGTTTGGTTGAAGAAACAGTTGCTAATTTAGCTGAAGTTCTTATTTTACTTATTGATCCATCGGAAGTATGATATTTGTTTAGTTAAAAAAATGAAAACATTTCTTCTTATACTTACAGATCAATAGTCGAACTAAACTTGATAGTTGGCTGCCATTTTTGAGTGTTCTTAATGATTGCGAAACAAAATTGCTTGTTACCCGAAATATGAATGGTCTATCAAACAGTCAGTGTTAGATGAAAATAAAGATTTTCTTGATTAATATTAGTTTTTTTTCTTTTTATTGATTATTGTCTATAGCAATTTCAAAAACGGATGTAAAACAATGGTGTACAGAACATGAATATGAATTGCTTGAACTTGAAAAAACTACAACATCGGAATCAGATGGTGAAGACGATGATGAAGATAGTCATCGTAAGGAAAAGAGAGAGAGAAAAAGATTCGAAAAAAAACGAAGAAAATTTATACAGAAAACATTCTATGGAATTTTTGTCTTTTTTACAATAGTCTATCGAGATGTGTATGGTGTCCCGCGTTTAATTCAAACTCTTCATCTTCATGAATGGTCAAATATGAATCTTAAAGGTAAAGATATTTATTTTTTATGTAAGTTCTTTCGTTGGTAAATGATTATCATTTTTTTTGATTTGCGTTTGATTGAGTCCTGATCGTCTCACTCCTAAGGGTTCATGACGAAGTTTAGTTGATTCGGTGTGTTGTGGACGTTTTCTTCTTTGTGGCTGTTGTTTTTGCCGTTGCTTTTTTTGACTATTAATTTTTGTTGACGATTTCGATTGTTGTTCATTTATTAGTGAAACATGATTTGTAGTTGATTCTAAACCATTGCTATCATTATCAGTTAAATTCCAAGTTACTGTTGGTATTTGTTGGTCACTTGTGGTTTTTACACTAGTACAGATTGATGTTGATTCTTTTAAACGTTTTAGTTTAATAACTGTAGGTGCAGAAGGTAGACGAACTGATGCAGTCGATAAGCTCATCAAACGATGTGAGCTGAAACATCCAAAAATTTCATCGAGACGCCATTTCGATAGAAAATGTTGTGCGGCTGCTGAAAAACGTGTATCGAAACCAGTGATAATTAATGGGTCAAGTAAAATATTTAATGATTTTGTAACTTGTACAGTATCCTTAAGAAGACGACTTTTAGTATAAAGTGTTATAATTTCTGCTGGTAACCAAAAAACAGCGAAATTAAGAAATAGAAAAAGAATTTGAAGAATAAGATTTTTTCTGATATGAATATTTCGTTCAAATCTTCGAGTAAAACGTCGTTGCATGCGTATTAAATCAGTACATATTGTCAAATAACAAGCGAATGATATTGATAGTGGAAGAAGAAATATATTGCCTGAAATAGAAAATACAACAATAAGTTTTTTATTTTAATTACATGATTTATCCGAGACATAAAAAAATGCACGAGTATTTTTTTTTGGTGAAATTGATCTCATCGATTTCTATTATTTTTTCATGATTTAAAATTACTGACGAAATGAATTTTGATAATATTCATTATCAATCAAAGACATTTTTATTATTTCATACCAAGTCTATAGCACATGTAGATCGCTGCAATAGTTGATCCATATGTATAGGATATTTGACATTCATTTGTTGCTTCATGTTGTGTAATTCGTAAAATTTTTAAATATATTAATAGATATGCCGGTACGATCGATGTGATTATTGGCATAGTCCAAAGTGCACCAATAAAAAATAAACTTCGGCTTGTTGATCGAGCTGCTTCACTGTGTAAATTCATAAAATGATGACGACGATATATAGATATTGCTGTTAAACTATATGCCATCAGAACAGTTAAATATAGTGGAAGATAAACTTGCATTTGACAATAGAAACGACCAGCTAATGAACTAGTTGCTAAATCACCAGTTAAATGTATAATTACATAAATAAGTTCATAGAGAAGACCAAGAAAATCAACAAGCAAATAATTTGATGTCCATATAAGACTTCGCATACGTTGTCGACGACGTTGTGTACGACTACGTGAACCACCACCGGATATAGCTGTATTTGAATTAATACGTTGTACAGTTAATTCGATAAAAAGTATAAAAACAATAGCATAACATGGTAATGTTAAACTTAGTATAAACAATTCTACAATACGCATAATACGATTAAAAGGTGATTTGAAAAAGAAATATTTTTTAAATAAAGACGATGATGATGTTGTTGGCGCAATGTGACGTGATGCAGCAAGAACTCTTGAGCTATTCCATAGACGAAAAATTTTATTTGTTGTTGTTGTAATAATTGTTGTTGCTGCTGTTGTTGTAATTGTTGTAATTGTACTATTAAGTAATTCATTTTCATCTGGTTGTTGATTAGCAAGTAATGTAAGATTTTTATCGTCATGAAGATTGAATAGAAATGATGTTAAATCAATAGCCGACGTTTTATTCATATCATTTCTAGATTAATTTTTGAATAGGATTTTTTTCTTTTTCTTTAATTTATTAGATCGACGAGAAATCAATCGAAATTTAGCTCAACAATTGAAAACTAAATTAAATTTTGATGAAACTAATGATGGAAATCGTTCCGAAGAACAACACGAGCAGAACGAACAATTTGATTCTTCTACGACGGCCAATAACCACCATGGTAAATGTTGTCTGTTGTGTGTGTTCTCTTAACTTATCATCACTGCTAAATAGTAAAAGAAACAATAACAGCATACCTTAAAATGCTGTCTTTTGTTTCGTGTTTGTTCTTCATTCTTCTTTTTTCGGCGCAGAGGAAATCGAAGTCGAAACATCGGGTGTTTTAACACTTCGTTCTATTTTATTGTTCCGTTGGGTCGTTTTTAATTTTTGCGTTTCTTCCTTCTTTCACCACTCTTCTACTATGTTAACAGGGCAGACTGAAAATTCTTAAAATAGTAACATTTGAACCTTGACGTACAATACACAGCAGAATAGATAATTTTAATTTCTTGTTCTAGCTACTGATGCTTTTGGTATGGAAAATATATTTGAACAAATGCAAAGATATAAAGGTAAGTATATATCAATAGCTGAGTTATTGGTGAGATTTGAAAAATTCCTATGAATTTCTTGTTTTTTTCAGAGGAAGCTGATCAATTGACGGGTGAAGAACGAAAAAAATTTGCGGAAAAGGTTTACGGATAAGAGATATCATTAACTTTATTTTTTTCTTTTACTTTTATTTTTATTTTTAGGTTATTTTATCGCTTTGGAAAAATATTGGTGATGGCGAAGACGAAAGCGATGACAATGATGATGCCGATCTGTAGTTCATATTTACAATTAATCATATTGTCTTCGTTTTTTGTCAGATTTTTTATATGATAAAAAAAAACATTTTTTATTCAAATAAATCAAAATTTTATGCTTTAAAAGATCGATAAATTTACAATCAATGAGTCACACATTCGAATCCAATTATCATAGAGATTATTCTATGTTGATCGGCAATTATGAATCTTTGAAACTAAAATATAAAACGCTATATTTTATATGTCCAACAGTAGAGATTTTTCGGTATCATCAGAGAACGATAATCAATGATAAATCCTCATGAGATATATTTCTCCCTGATATGAAGAATTCATGTCTCCACATTTCGAGAAAGTATCTTTGCAATTTTAGTTTAGATAAATATACATCATGTTAAACATGAAATCATTTTCTAGATTTAATAGAAAGTCACGTATTTTCTATTGGCAAAGAATCTTTTAGAATTGAGAAAATCGTCCCTTCAAGTCATCAAAGTCAAATTTCAATACCTTTTTTGTTCACAAGATTAAGGACCCCCTTCCTCAGAAAAGCCGATTTTTCGAAAAAAACCGAAATCGAGTTTTTATCATAGAAAGATTCCCCGTGATCTCCTCTTTCAGAATATATATATATCATTTTTTGAAAAAAGGCCAAGTTTTGACAGACTTATTGAAGAAATACTCTTTCATCTCCCTTATTCTCACACACCTTTCTAAAAATTCCTAAACGTTAGTATGAAAACATGGGTCTCAAGTAGAAAAATTGCTATAACTTTCGTTTGGCTTTAACTTTCCCTGATATTTTTTTTATTTTAAAGGTTTCAATTATAGCTAACTTTTTATCAGACGGATTTTCGATATTGGATTCCTGGACTGAAAAAAGTCCGGTTTAGTGCGGTTTTTATACCTACTTTGGCAGTCATACCGAGTAAAATACATATAAAAATATGAACAGAAGGGAATTTCAAAATTCTGTGTGATGAAAACTTGCGTATGGAGGCTAGCTTTAATTTGAAACCGACCCGACTTCGACGGCTCTTATAGCCATGAATTATCGTGGAAGCTATAAAACAAGTCATAAGGCTAGTTTAGTAAGGTATATAAGGCTGCAACTTTTACCACAAGTGTTTCTCACTAGGCCCATTCATCGGTGAAAGTTTCAGCCCTTAACCTATACTCCGAAGTGGCAAGTCGATTCTGAGGGGGAGGGGGGGGGGGGCGCGGCCTTAACTAATGAAGAATTTATCCTACATTTTCAATTGCCAACATTGTTCGAAAGGATACTAACAAAAATAATTATAAATATTCGATAGTTTCACGCAAGTCATTCTTACATGCTGCAATCTATGTCAAAATGACGTCACTTTATATGACAACAAAATATTAATTTAATTCTCATTAACAAACTAGGTGACCTCAATAATACAACGAATACCATATCAGAATCAAGTTTCACAGTCTAATATAAAGAGGTCGAAGCTTAGAGTCCATAATATCTTTATTTGTTATCAATTCATGCTATACTGATATTGACATAAGCTGTAGAACGATGTTAAATAAATGCATAAACAAAAATGATAACAATTTGTTTTAGTTAATAGATAGAATTATTTCTCTACCAATTTTTTCATCAACGCATAAATTCTTTTCAACTAATGTTTATACGCATAATATAGAAAATATACTTTTCTTTTTTGATACACAAGTTCAACTAGAAAAACAGTCTGTTGTGTACGTATTGGTTTAATTATTGAAACAAAAACTATACCGTGCAGACAATCATAATTTTTTATGATTTTTGACTCACACTACTTAGTCTTGCTAGAATCATCGAGATGCTTGTATCACATATTGTTTTCGGTAACTAGCTGAAAAGAACCTGATTTTTATCTTCTGTTCTTGTTGTTGTCCAGCAATATGGAAGGAAATCTATCTAATAATTTTTGTCGTCTCCTCTCATATTTTCCTCGGTTGCAAAGGCCGAGAGCTAGAAAAGTCCGATAAATTTTTATGAATCAATTTTTATCGGTTAACGTTTATTAAAATATCTATGCCAATACATTTAGAAACATGCTGTTCTATCAGAAACTATGATCTCATATCCTGCCAAGACAATCGTCTGTTCATAGAAAATACATCACATTATAAAAATATAACTAATAATCTATTTGTTTGAATTACTCCATATCACTTTCAAATGCAACTGCTTGATTGAACGCCTGGTTCATGTCGACTAAATCATTTCTCATTTGTACTTCATGGTTCATAGCTTGAGATATTCGTTGCATTTGTAAATAAATGTAAATAAGATTTGAAAAAATTTGAGTAGCATCAAAATATTCATGACGATGTGATAAATAATTCCATAGTAAAGTAGTAAATGAATTTTGAATTTTATTTATATCCAAACGACTTTCTTTTGATATATTAGGCAATGAACGATCATAAAGACATAGAAGAGGAGTCGAAAAAAATAATATAATTAACCAAAGACGTGTTACAGCTGGATCAGTGATTAGTACCGATTCAGCTTTCTTTCTAATTTGAACAAAATCGTCAAATAATGTTTTGCCAAAAATAAATTCAGTTGCTGCGTTATCAATATTCACCTAAGAAAACAACAGCGGAACATTTCGTTCTGTTATCAGAAGAAATAAATCAGTAAAACTAATAATTTTACCTGCCATGATTCACTGAAACATGTTTGTTCGATTTCATGAAAATTAGGAAGAAGCAATGAACGAATATTATGTTTAAATAAATAATAACGATTGTTAGCTGAAAGTGATTGAACCGTTGGTATCGATAGAAGAAAAGATAAAAATGATTTTATATTGTTGAGACACACTTCTTTATAATGATTGATATTTGCCGATGGTTTATTGTCAAAATTGATTTCATTATTAATAATATTTTTACGATTTTCTATAAATTTTTTTAAACAATAATTTTCATAAGCATCAACTATTTTTGATAGAAATCTCCAATCTTTCTCTTTTAATAATGCATTATCAGATGGAATAGTCTGTAAAAATAGAAACTCATATCGTATTTAATATGATAAATAAATAGAAAAATAATAATTTGTACTTCAGAAATTTGAGGCGCTTTACGAGTTAATAATTTTATTGAACTTCGTCGTCGTTGACGATTGACTAAGATGATTTGTTTATATCGTTGTTTTTCTTCATCCGATCGTACTAAGCTAGCATTCATGCCAACTTCAAAACAACGGCGCAATCGACAAGTTGTACAGTGACGTAATTCAGAACAAATACTCATGTTATCGTTACATTGATTTATTGAATGGTCAAGATCTTCATGTTGACATTGTATTTGCAGAACCTAGGCTTAAGAAATTTCATTTCATAGTAATATACGATATTATAGCAGTTTTTTCTCACTTCTTTTCGACGAGCATTACGACGGAAAAAAGCTTTTGAAAAAAAAAAAAGGAAATATTAATTTATATTAAAAGTTTAGTAAAATACCTTTACATGGAGCACATGTAAGCGCACCAAAATTAACACCGAGTGCTTTCGATCCACATACAAAACAATTACGTACAGGTGCTGTTGAATCTCGATATTTGGATTGAGAGCGAACTTTTAGCGTTTGTGACAGCATTTTTCTAAATGAAATATCTCCTATTAAAACTCAAATGATTAGAAAAATTTAGGCTTCGCTTGTGATAAAATTAAAATAAAGAATCCTTTTATTATCCTACACTCTTCATAGAATGACCCATTTTATATTTTCTTTCTAATCTTTCAATTAGAATTATCTTTTAATCGTGTAAGTTTTGGATTTATCATGTATTCGAATTTAAGAAACCTTCTGCCAAATTATTATGAAAGATAATATCATCGTTCGATGTTTTATAGCTTGTTTTTAAAGTTTACCAGTAGTGTTTTATTACCAATATCTTACGGTTAGAGCAGAGATAATAAAAAAAAATGTCTTATTGACGGCTCACTAAAATGCGAGTAATAAATTCATTCGAATAGAAATAGGTCAAATAATCTATTAAAATCTAATAGATGAAGAATATCAAAAGTGATAATCTATTTCACTCTTTAGTGTATATTTCAATATTATACATACTAATTATTCATAGATAATCACGACTAAACCATGTAGAAGTACTTAGATTTTTATTTCTGAATCGAAAATAGAGCTGACTTGTTACGATAGGATAATTATTTATGTAAGCAACATTGTCTATTATCTAGAAAAAGTAGGTCGCATTAGGGTTCTTCTCTCAGTGGATCTCTAAAAATAAAAATATCTATTAGAAACAAAGGATGACATGAATGTGAATGAATTCCAAGTCTAATGCATATCAATATAAACGTTACTTTAAAAATAAAAACTCCAGCTAATTTTTCGAGATTCGATAAGACTTAAGAAATGTGTTAAGATAAGAAAAACATGTGAACTCGTTTCTATTTACACTTGTGTTGAAAATAAAAATAAAATGAATTTCATACTATGAATGAATTTTTTTCTTCTCGAAAAACAAACTCTAATTCTACAGTCTTCTACGATCTAGATCATTTTGTATACATTCACGTGTATGTTTTGTATTGAGTGTTAATATTAGATGCAGAAAAGCAAATAAAACAAAAAAATAATAATCAAATGATTGTTAAACTAATGATTTTTTTATATCGAACGAAATTTAATAATTATGATTTCTTTCTATTTAAAATGTTCTATATTACCTGCCAACAGCATAACCATGTAATATTTCAGTTAACAAAAATAATAAAGAATAATACACAGATATACAGATACAGATATATGTTTTTTATCTTAAGAGAAAAAGAATGTCAAAATGGGTACATTTACCCGTATATTTATGTCCTGTCAGCTGTCTATTCTCTTTTCTTCTGTGTAGCGCATTTTGCCATTTTCTCTGGTATATTTCGAGTGACTCGACGTCGTTTTGACTTTTTAGTACATTTTAGAGAAAAAACCAAACGAATGAGACTCATTTTATAATTGGTGCTCAATCCCTCCAAATAATCATCAGAAAAAAGAGAATTGTATATTTCTCTTACCAGTAGTGTCGAACTTGAAACTTGAATTCAGTTGAAAATAGAAAATTTCGACTTTCTACTTTTTCAACTCATAGCGATATATGTGTGAGTCACGATTCTTCAGAATGCTATTGGTTTAAAAGTTGAAAATTGAAATTTTCAATTTTCAATGGGATTCAAGTTTATATGTTGTCTTACACGAATCACTCATATTCGATAGTAAAATATCCATTAATTGGTCGATTCCAATGGCTTTTATTGTTGTAAATTAGCGGTACTATTGGAAAAGTGGTAGAAAGAAAATTCTATTTGTATTATTGATTTTGGCAAAAATAAACTCATATAAATAATAGCTTGATTCCCTGTTACGCAAGAAACATTTTCAATTTTATCCATATATATATATATATTGTTCTATTTGATACTAATAACGTGCAATTTGTTGTTTCGCGTATCTTTATTATTGATGGCTAAGCTCTATTGAAAGACAATGAAGAGAGTAATTACTATACTATTTTAATAACATCGAAGTCATCACAAAGTTGACCCAAAAATTGTAAAATTCATTCATGCAACAGTTATGTTTTACACCAAGTTTAGAAAACATTTTGTTTCGGTGCAGACAAACCTATTGAAGACCGATTTACTGTCTGAACATAATCGACATATCTGTAATTTATTGAAAGTAAGCAAGAACTCGTATGGCTATGGAAAGAACAAAAAATGAATTAATCATAGTAGACTTCATCATTCCTTGAAGGTCTATAGAAATAAACTAGCTAATTATAGGATGTAAGAAGACAAATGAGACAAAAAAAGACAAGCACTAGTTTCAGGATACATTTAAAATGATTAACCCATACGATGATTTCTGTTATCCAGATATTCTACTAGACAAGATACTACAAGAATATGGACTCTTCGAATTATTCAGTTTCAGTGTACTGATAGATACCGTGAGTCATGCGTTGTTAAATTTTCTCTACTAACTATCCTGCACTTTGAATAAAAATGTCTTTGATAAAAACAGCCATACTATTACAAATTCTCTATTATTTAAATGAGATGCATCTTTAAAAGATAAAATCTACTTTATTGAAAAGCACTGCATGAACTTCATCAGATTATTATCTAAGAAGTTTCATTACTGCAAGAGAAATGTAACCTAAGAAAAGCAAAATATCTGCTTTGATTTCGAAATTTAACAAACACATGTTTTTACAAGAAGCAAACATGCGTATAAAACAGTTAAATTTCTTTGAGAAAGAAAAAATAATGGTAAATATTTGTTTTGTTTTGTTTTTATTACACACACATATAACAATTTAATAAAGTTTCAATGGGAATTTATTTTCTTCCTCTTCTCTTTTATCAATCAGCATTAATATCAAGTTTTACCAGATCATCAAGTGTTTCGTGTATTGGTGCTAGATCTTTTCGTGTTCGCAATCTAATATTAACTTCAAGTCCGATGCGTAACATACTCAAAAAAGCAAAAGCAAGATTGGAATAAATTCGAATGGATTCCATCGGGCCATGACGATTTAACAAGTATTTCCATAGAAGATTTACATAAATAGTTTGAATATCAATAAAGAGAGAGTTTTTTCTAACTTTTATCGCTGTAGATTTTGGATCGTAATAAGAAAAAAGAGGCGTAGAAAAAAATAATATAATAATCCAAAGACGTGTCATTATCGGGTCAGTTATTATTAATTTTTCAGCTGATATTTGAATACTAGCGAATTGTTTATGCAAGTCCGGACCACAAATGAATTCCCAAATAGATTTACAGGCGTCGATCTACAACAACAAAACATTTACGTTTTTAGTTTAAATATAAATCTTCTCGAAATGATAAATTTCCTACCTGCCATGGTTCAGAAAAACATGCTTGATTGAGCTCATGAAAGTTCATAAAAATCAATTGGCGAAGATTATTTTTACATAGAAACAATTGATTAGTACGCGAAAGAGACTGAAAAGCAGGTAATTCTTTGAGAAATGAACCTAGTGCAAAAGTTATGCTCATTGGTAACATTTTATAATGATTCAGCTGTTTTTCTTTTTGTGATATTTCATTCTGAAATATATTTGTACGATGTTCAAGATAAGTTTTAACACAGTATGTATCGAACGCATAAACAATATTCGACAGATGACACCAATCTGTTTTACTTATTAAATCATAATTCTGTGGAATATGCTAAAAGAAACAACAGAATTAGTAAAATAAAAATTCTTTTCTGATCCCAAATGGAAAGAACGGTAGTATTTGTTCGTATGAAAAAAATTCCATCTACCAAAACGCAGAATTTGAATTGATATTTTCTTTTTAAATTTTAAACCCCGAAGTCAAATATCAAATGTGATTAAAGAAAAATAATCTATTGAAATTTACGAGAATTAGAGCGATTGTATAAGATTTTTAAAATCAGTGCTGTCGTCTGATTGTCGAGCGGCCTAATTTTCGAATTTCAAATATAGAATTCGATAGAAATAGCGCCTTTTGCATCGTTTCACAGCACCTTTCGCTATGGAGAGTTTTAACTCAAAATAGAAGTGTTGTAGCAATCAGCTAAGAATACGAGCTCTTTGTAGACTATTGATAACTCTTTGTTTTAGAGCTCTGATCAGCTTTAAATTACGAAAAGGAAGCTACAAAATTAAAATCTAGATCTAGAGAGCGACCTTGAAAAATGTAAATACTATCAAAAATTGCTTTTGTTTTAGCACGTTTCTATAAATCGGATAAAAAAAAGACCTATTGAACTTTTGATTCAGATCTGTGATTGATTCATTGGAATATGCGATGCAAATAATAGTGATGTATTACTTGTTTGTCCTTGGCTCAAATACTGCTTCATTTCATTTTTCTTCCTCAATGCCTCAAAGAAATTATATAGAAATGAGTTACTGAATATAACATCTTTGAAATTTTATAATTCAATCGAGCGAAAAATGTGCTTAAAGAATAATATATTAACAATCATTTAAAAAGAACTCAGAGAACAACTCTCATTGTTTGCACTCATCATCATAATTATACTTTTGAATCAAGAGCTGCACATGCAGGCGTTCTTCAAGTTCTCTTGTTTTTACTGAGGCATATCGATAGTCAGAAATCCGAAATCAGTTGAAGTACTTCCTTCGTTCGTTTCATCTTAATTGCACTACCGAATTTACGTGTTTTTCACGTATGAATTGCATGGCATCGCAGTATTTTTCGTTTTATGAATGTCCAAATCAACTATGAAAAGTAAATACATAGCTTAATTTACATGCTAGTTGCTGTCCGTTGAATTAGAGATATACGAAACATGTTCTGTAATCTCAGTATTTATCACACAAAAGATTACATCAAGACCGCTATCCTGGTAATTTATTCCAATCGGTCTGTTCAAGAAAGATACTGTGAAAAAATGTTCAGGTTTTATTACAGTTATCTGCTCATCGTTCAAGATTTTGTTAAGTACAAACGTCAATAAGAAAGAATCATGGTTGGCCGTCCAAAGGTCGAAAGGAAAAATGTCGAAAAAAACATATTATTGTGGAAAATGATCAAAAAGAGTGTTTTCGAATTCTGACTTGAGAGAAGTATGTTTCATTGTGTACGTTAATACTAACATATGATAATCGAAATATATTCATTTACTATTAGCAATTGTTTTCCTTTTTGTGAATTAATAAATGAAATCGTTGGTGACTTTGATTGAGTTTCATCTTCTGAAGATGCGACAGCTGTAGCCATAATGATAGAATTTTAGTTATTTATTTACTCTTATGTAGGGGTTGTTTATTTAATTTATATGAAGTATATTAATCATCACTGTTACAAGAGGTGCAAAATCTAGACTAGTAGAATTATGGGAAAAGAAAACATGAATTATTCGCGTTTGGAATCATCATTTACTGAAGACATCGCTATTTCGTTTATTTCGAATTTTGACATTTTTTTGTGGTAAAATGTATTGTTCGCCTTTTTTTTTTCTTTTTATATTTTTTTCGACATTTTTCCCCGTTCTAAAATTTTTTTTCGACATTATTCCCTTTCGATATTTTTCCTTTCGACCATTTTCTTTTCGACATTTTTCCCCTTAAATTTTTGCTTTCGACATTTTTCCTTTCGACCTTTCTACGGCACACCATCATGTCAAGCTGTGCGTTGTTGGATACCAATAGCATTCTTTGTTCTCAACTACCTTCTCATAGCTAATTAGCCTAAAATTCGAGGTAACATCTGCATGACTGTTAAATTCTTGCCACAGGTTTCGGCATTGTGTAAATAAGTTAATTTATATATGTCAAAATCTAGAATTTGCTCTCAAGGAATCAACTGTAAAACAAAACAAAAATGAAATTCAACTTTTAGTGGACTAGTTTTGATCGTCTCTAATGTCTTATATTTAGTGGAATGTTGAACAAATATGTTTTACTAAGACTTTTTTCAGACATAGATCTATCATACTTTAAGAATTAATGGAATAAATGCCGGCTGAAAATCTTCTATACGAATGCCAATTTGTTCCATTGTTCGACGATCATAGGAAAAATTCAATTGATCAAAACTAACTTTAAAACCAACTAAATATTGTATTATTAATAATGCTCCTCCGTAAATTGTAAAATATGGACTCATTCTCAAACACCATTGCCGAGAATTTGGTAATACCCAAATAAAACATGCCCAAAGAAGATAAACTAACGTTAATAAGCTATGAAACGTTATACTCCATGCCTAAATCAATTAAATTATCCCATGAGAATAATTTTGAAGGAAAAAATAAAAATATATATCTACCAGCATTGCAATCAATGACAATAAATAACTTTGCCGTTCGAGTACATGAAAGATCGAAAAAACGACGAAAATAATTCTGCCTTGCCATGTTTGATCTCCAGGTTGCTCTATACTCCATCGTCGATGTAGCGTAGGTGAACCTTGCTCAATAGCATCACGACCTTCGGAACTGTGTACCAAACTCTATAGAAAAAGAAAAAGAAAAGAAAATTACAAGTCAATATACTTTAGGTACCATTATGATTTTATCAATGAAGCTAAGCTTTAACAAAAACAAAATGAAAACTAGTCATAAGAAGGAATACAGAAGCAAGTCTTGTCGTTTTGAATATAACTAGGTTATGTCTGCGCATTGAATACTATATATAAGCAGTCACACAATTCAAATAAAGCAACATTCGAGCAAACCTGCTGGTCAATACTGCGACGAACATGTATCTGGTTAATAAGTTATACACACAGAGTATAGGAAAGGGTGACACACACGAAGATATTATTATCTCTAATATTCTTACCTGTTGTTCAAGTGCTTGAACTGTTGTAATATTCGATCGTACCTTAAGAAAGACTTTTTCATGCAGAAAATAACAATTCAAAGTTTCAATAAAAACTTACCCGTTGCGAAAGTATTTGATTTGTTTCAAACGCAAAATAAAAATATAAAATAAGCACGGCGCATGGATTAACATAATCAGTCCATACTAATTTTCTATCGAGATCCGGTTCTGTATTCGTACAATTACTTGTAACGATTGCTGTTAAACCTGTAATACTAAAAAGGAAATCATAAACATTTATTTACATGTAAACAAAAAAAAATTGTTTTCACTTACTTGCTCCATAATGATAAAGGTGGTAAAGCTTCTTGGAAAAATTCAAATTGATAAAGATAAAAAGTTAGTAAATGTACACCTGCGTAAATGGCTAATAAAACTCGAGCGGATGTATATTTTCTGCCAAAATTAACCGATAATGACCAAATGAATACAATTATAAGGAAAAAAATAAAATAAACCGAATTGATAATACTTGGATAGACAAAGGCAGCAAAACCAACAAGAACGAATTGAACGAATAAACGTAATCGTCTTAATATAGATAATAATCTTGGCCACAATTTTTGTTCACTTCCAGTATCAGTACTCGTACTAGCACTGCTCGTTGTTAATGGTGATGTTGTAGGCGATGGTAAAATTTCGTTTGTTTCTCGATGTCTAGGTAATGATAATCTACGTCGGATGACACAACAGCAAACGGTTGATATAGCAAAAATGATTATATCGGGAAAGATTAAACGTAAAATTCGAAGAGCATTCGAATTATCAAGACTAAAGAAATAAAGAAATATTTTCACCAGACTTTGCTTTTATGTAATTATAGTATACCGTTCTAAACCAAAATATCGAAGTGTTTGAGTTAGTTCAGTACCTAAAGTAAAATCAATAAGAGATTTTGAGTTGAAAAATTTTAGTTCATTTTCTTTTATTTACAATTCTTGAGCGTATGGCCGTAGGGTTTTTTTGCAAGAATAATCGATTGAAATATAATTTGCGCAGCAACTGTAAGCAAACTTATCAAACCGATAAGTAGAATAAATGGGCGAAAACGTGCTAAGATAAAATTCCGAAATATGTTTTATTTTAAATTTAACTATCTATTTTACTTCGAATATTTTTTTCAGTTATTGGACCAAGCCATGGAAGAACCAATAAAAGAAATGCATATATAAATGAATTGACACTGTATCGAAAGATAACTCCTATTTATTAAAAAGCAAAAAAAGCAATTTCATTGAATTTACTAAAGTAAAAATATTTTTGTTTTTCTTCTTACCTATGAGCAATACCAGTGGAAGAAGAATTAGGATGAGTACAGATAAAAACGATCGAGCCATTCTTGTCAATGCTCTAAATAAACCGAGAAAAAATTATTGCAAGTGATTGTCTTAATAGGATAAATAAAATAATTGTATGATATAAAAATGACGTCGAAATATCAGGATGTCACCGACAGAGTTACGATATCTGTAAGAAAGACGTCTCTTTATTGTCCTTCACATTAAGATTATTTTTCTTTCCTACAGCGCAAAACTAACAACAACAAAAGAGGCGAATAAAATCATACAATTATCTAGTTATCACAATATGATAAGTTGTCGATCGAAATCATTTCAATATACAATTATACTGGCATTATGCATAGCCCGATAAGAACAATATAACTATTGTTTTTACTTTTTTTTCTTTCTATGCGAATATATAAATACTTGTAGGCGGCTATATATATACTTTATTTAGTATGTCGTCATATTGTGCTCTTTGTTACCAAGAACAAAAAAGTTACATTTTGTGTAATCGTTTGTGTTAACGAACTGAAAATATTTTGATTAATCCAACAATTGAAATAGATTAATTATGTGCATATTAAACAGTAGCATATATTATACAATCAGATACATGAAAAAAAATATACTCATCGATAACATGCAATGTCTGCAAGTCACCAAATTGTATCTTACTTATTTTCAGCAAACAATTTTGTAGGAAATGGATTAGTATACGCTGGAATCAAAACTAAACTCTTCGTGGATAATATTTGATCATCTTCATTTTGTTTTAATGGTATTGAATACACATTTTCATGATGATGTTCGTTACTTTTATTCATATGAGAAAATGTAGGTTGCCGTTGAATATGCAGATTTTCAAGTTCGATATCATATTTATTAATTGATAATGGTTGTAGGTTAGTACATTCAGGTGAATTCTTATTATTGCTCATAATTATTTGCATATAGATAAGCTTGGTTTTAAGTAGAAATTAGTTAAAATTCTCTTGATATAATAATGGAATTAGTGATACTCTAACGATAGAAATACAAATGTCAAAGACTTGATAGGCGAAGAGAGAAAATAAAATATTTTTATATGACGACTATTTTCTCTATTTCTCTCGTATTGATGAATAAGGGTTTACGAAACGTATAGAAAATTGAATAGACTGACGGCAATCGTTCTCTCTTGCACTTCAGGGCTTTTTTCTTCTTCCTGGTGATCTTATATACACTCGTCAAAAGGAAAAAACTATCTATATACAATTCAAAGAGGAATACCAGTGACAGCTGATTCATGTTGATCTTATTAGTTATCTTACCAATCATTAGCATAATAATAATAATTTATGTTGATACGTTGTAGTCGTGATGAAAAAAAGTGTTCTTGTTAAACTATATACAGATAAGACAAAACAGAATAATGACTAATCTACAAAAACTAATGATATAATTCATCATATTACTTTCATGATTAATTTTTTTCATACTTAATAAATATTTTTTATTTATATATTTGACAGAACAAAAAATTATTTTCGTTTCTCAAAATTTTATAAAAAAAAACAAAATCCGGTGAGAAAACAATCTTCTGTTGTAAGTATAAATTTTCCACCAGCATGCCGAACGTATTGTCTAGGGATTTTTCAATCAGCCCCTATGCGTTCATGAAAATAAATTCCCCATTGTTTTTTATGACATGCATTCATTTCTATAATTTCTATAGTAAAGATACATGATAATATTCAGATGTTTGATACATGCTCAAGAAATCCCAGTATACTCGCATTGTTTTCAACAGGCATTGAACAAACGCATCTGTAAATTATTGCTCATCAACATGATTGACTGAACTACGATTCATTGTTCTAATTTCTTCTTCTTTTTTTTGTTGAATAATGTGTAAAGAATAAGAATCTGCAACAAATTAGATAATTGTTTTAAAATCTGTTAGAAGATCATCTTGGCACTCATTTCTGTGATTGAACAAAGTACACAATACTTTGTGAAGATGACACATAGGCGCGCCAATAAAAAAAAGTAACTTTATAACTTCTTCACGAATAAAAAAATGCATCAATAAATAAATAAAATATAAATTCCACTTTCAACTCACCCCGAACGGCTCGCTTATCTATGAGTCATCGAAATATTTAAAAACCAATATACCCTCTGGAAAACTTGGGATCTACACTTAATATTCAACTATTATTCAAATAATAAAAACAAATTGGGAAGAATTCATTGTATCTAGATCGTATCTGAAAAATAATATTTCATATAATTATATTGTTATCAATTGTATAGATGTCATGAGCTCACTGCCATACTCGGATGGAGGTATATATCATAGCATCAACAACATAGGAGGCATTATCGCTATATGAAAGAGATTCAGATTTTTTTCCCATCATTCTTCAAAATGTGTATGAATTGAGTTTAGTATATTTTCGAAATTATATACTGTTGTTTGACATAAATCTTAATATACTGCTGTAATCGATGAATCTACACATAAACCAGGTCGAAAAAAATGGCGGCATAATCAACCTTAAATGCTGTCATCTATTATAGCAGATTACGAAGGATAAACGATGGCCGTTATCTAGCAAGAAAAAAAAAAGATTCATATAATGGTATGACCAATTATGATGAAATAACCTTGATGAACATATTCGATTTGCTATTATAAAGTGCTAGCAACTACCAGAATTCGATGCAAATCTTCGTTGAGAAGCTATTAATGAATCGCACGATTAAATCCTCTTTAACTAATTCAGTACTACTGTGTAACGAACAACTAGATTAGAGTAGCTTGTGCCATTCTCGGCAAAGATGTTTATTAGGCTACTTCAAGTATCCAGAGTGTAACGACAAAACTAGAGAGTGTCACCTATGCCCGTCAGCATGATGGTGTATGGTGTATTGTGTCATCTGACATCTCTAGTCGTCTCACAACTTCATACGTAACACACGTATATATAGGAGAGAGATATTAGAACAATGGAAAGAGAACAGAAAGAGAATGAAGGAGAATCATCGAAGCGTGCCATCAATATCGGCACATACTGGGTATATTTATGTCAATATTAACTGTTATCAAGAGCATTGTTGGATTTGGCAATAGGATATGATGGTATTCCAACACTAGGTACTCATGCAAGTATCATCATACAGTCTGGATTTCAATAGGACTTGGGCGGTCTTACAAAAATTCACAGCATTTTGCAGCTGCTTTCGAGCAAATCAGATTATCGTCATGAGAAAAATTCTGAAGTTGTATGACACAAACAATGATGCATTTGAATATTAGAAGTGTTGATCTTGTAAACATCAGTATTACAGAACGTTAGGGAAGTTAGCACAAGGTTCGAGCTTTTCCAGCCCGGATTTGCCTATATGGTTGTGTTGAATTTCATTTTCGTTGTGTTGGATGCAGAATTTTGCGCTGAATCGAATGATGTAATTTTAGAAGGGGGTTACCGATCAAAATCTGGCACTTTATCCGAAAATACTGCTTTTTCTGAAAATCTTGAAGAAGTAATTTCAGCCCGGATTCGCTGCTTTAGCTGTGTTGGTTCTGGAAATGGTTGTGTTG